CTCCATGTTTCACGGGTTCTAATCTGTGCCTCTGATTAATACTCCTTGGTCTAAATATATCCGATATATGTGTGTGTGTGTGTGTGTGTGTGTTAATGGTTTAATATTCGCGCATGTTCTATTTATGTCGAGTAAACTACGCAATTGATACTTTGCTCACTGAAAGTATCAAAACTGTAAAATATCGAGATAATGCTAAATATTAGATAGGCTGAAATGAACGATATAAAATGGTTTCGAAAGAATTCGTTGCTCTCTGATAGAAAGAGCAAGGCAATAAAATAACCATTTGTAGCATCAAAGGGGGACAGGCCTGTGCAGCGTAGCAGACTGAGGTTCTCCAAGGTGGTTTTTCAAGTTCGATGGAATTGGCGCGGCGAATGTAGAACCCAAATGCGACCTGGGCCACGCTTTCGACCGGTTCTAACCTATAAAATGCACCGAGACAAGAGACTAAGAACGAGTCTCGGTACAATTTCGTTCGTAAAACTCCTCGGAGAGCAGGTAGCGGTCCCGTTATCGCCCAGATAGAAACTCTGTCTTTAGAAACGCATTAGGACTTCAAAGACGCCGGTGTTCGAATTAGAGGGCACCGCGCGTGGCCCTGAGAACGAGCGGAGCTCTTGTCCCGATGTAAACCCGAGAGCGCGTTAATGGGATATAATTCACGGATTACAAGCTCTCGTTGCGCCAAAAAAAGGGCGTTACCCTGCGAGACGGAACATTAATTGTCCATCTCTCGTACGGACGATTCGACTGACACGAGTTTACGCAACGCCACGCGTCGCGTCGCTTCCTTCTCAGCTCATCTTTCTCTCTCTCTCTCTCTCTCTCTCTCTCTCTCTCTCTCTCTCTCTCTCTCTCTCTCTCTCTCTCTCTTTCTACCTTGCATCTCTTCGTCTCGCTCAATACGAGGATAAGAAATTAATTAACGTCTTTGAGCGAGACGTATGATTAGCGACGCGAACGGCGCGAAAGCAAACAGAAAATCGAAAGTGAGAGGAGGATGACAGGCCGCGGTCGCGCAGGTCTAATAATTAAAAATGAGCGAAATCAGATCTAGACCGCCGCCAAAAAAAGAATCGCACTCGATATCCATACAACACGCGCACTGACGCGCGTCGAAAAAAAAAAAAAAAAGCAAAAGTAAACGTACCGCGGGCTCGTCCGGGATTTGAACCCGGGACCTCTCGCACCCGAAGCGAGAATCATACCCCTAGACCAACGAGCCAACTTGACTGACCTTCTCTCATGCGAGTACTAACGGAACATCCGCAAAGTCACATTAGATCAATTAACGATCTTGCAACACCGTTATCGAAAATACGCATAATCAGCGTTCCAGTTGGCGCGCTCTGCTGCGAAGAGCGGGTAAAACAAGTTTCTTATCTACAAGCCGCGATTAATCTCGGCTCGGACACTTGGAACGTCGCTTCCATGAGGAACTGGAAATCGGTTAGGTGTTTCATGGAAATTAATCCAGCGCTCTTCTCGAAACTATCGGGCCAATTCTCGAGCGACCGGGCGACGCGACGCGCCGACGCGCGAAGGTAAAATAAACGTCGCGAGGAAAAATCTTTTCACACGCGTATATCGTTCACGCATAGGCCGACGCGTGCGAGAAGCACATGTAAATACGGAAAACGCGTGGCCGATCGATCGGCCGAGACGAGCGGCGGCGAGGAGGTGCGGGAAGGACGGGAGGAGGAAGAGGGGGGACAGGTGGGTGGAAGAATCCAAGTCCACGTGGAGCTCGTGCCTCCATCTGTGCTCAACGTGGCAAGTCGGCGTTGCGTGCCACTCTCGCCTCTCAGCTCAGCCTCTCATCCGCGTATCTCTCCCGTCGCGGAATAATCGGCGTGTTTTGAGGAGAGCGCGCATGTGGCCTGCCTGCCAACAAAGTTGAGGAAAGGTCACGAAGCGTGGGTTGCGCAATTACTTTTCATCGCGCGAACGTAATTGCGGGACCCGCGCTCGCGCGCGCGCGCGCGCGCGCAGGGGAAATAAAAAAGAAGGGTAGGTGCGGGGGAGAGGCAGGGAGCGGGGTAGGCGCGGAAGGGGCGGGAAAATTCTTTGTGTACCCGTTTTCGCTTGTACCTCGTGTTAAACGCAAACGAGGGTTCCGTGAGGTAAATTCTCAGCCGGGGGCTAGAAGAGTGGTAGCTCCTTCTCTCGAAACGGAGAAGCCGACAGTCTCGAGACAGGCCGAGGGAGGGAAGATACGCGAAAAGAAGAAAGGACGACGAGGACGGGAGCGTCGAGCGAGCAAAGTTTTCTTTCCTCGCACGAAGCCGCGATACACTGCAACGAGCATGGAAATGATATCGACGCCGCGCGAGGCGCGCTACATTCGCGAGATGAGAAACTTTCCTATTCCCGGGGTAATGAGTCGCAGCCGCGGTGTTCGCCGACGCATCGTCGTCGTCGCTCGGGCTGTGAGGAGCAACCAGCAGGAGAGGTAGGTAGCTCCGTAGGAGCTCCCTCGTCGTGTCTTCCGCTCTCGTCTTCACGGCGACCAATCACCGGCTCGTAAAGACGAGGAGACGAGCGACGGCGTCGCACGTACTTTTTTTATATCGAAGCTGAGCCTCGCGTCTCGATCGTAAACCGCGACCGATTGAACGATTCGTCGTAGTTTCGCGCGACATTCCGATTCTCTTCGACGCGAACTGCGGCAACGGCAACGGCCAACTGCTGCACCTACCTTGTCTCCGCGCGACCGTTGCGCCAGGAGTCGCGTTCCCGAAAAAGGATATTTCACGCGGTTCACCTCCGATGTGTTTCACGCGTTACTTGTTAAATGTCTGCAGTTTCGAAACGCTTCCGTAGAAATCCGGTCGTGTCGCCAGTAACAATAGGCCAGCCTGAGCCGGATGATTAAAGGAAGAGGAAGGAGGCCCGGTTGCTCGGGCCTGCGAGCGGTGAAACATTTACTATCGTTTTAACGTCTGGATTCGGTTAATTAGCGCGTCGCCGCCGCCGGGGGCGACGGAGGCAGATACGGAGGCTCACAAACACGGCCGAATTAGCCGCGGGCGATTCTCGCCCGCGGTACCTTTCTCCGTCGCGCCGGCGCGCTCTCGGTGAAAATTTCGTTGCGCGGCGAGAGTGAATTTTCGTGACGCGGCTTTTTAGGAATGTCGCTCTCGGAGAGCGTGGAAAGCGCTCGCCGCCGCCGAGGCGAAATCTCGCCTTCTCGATGAGTGGAGCGGCGTCGTGAGGCGCTGAATTTCATTTAATCGAGCGCCGAGCGCGAACAGCTCGAGCCGAGATCGCCACGCCGTCACGGTCGTCCCCCCCTCCCAAGGACGTGTCTGAAGAGTCATCTCGTTACACACGTAAGTGCGTGGTGTACACGCTCGAGTCAAGTCGTAGAAGCGAGTGATGTCGCGTGTAACGCAATCATTTCGACGCAGCGCGCCGCGGAGCATCAAAGTCCCCTCGCATTAAATGTCACATTCTAAATAGTGAACTCTTACGTAAAGCGAACCGCCGTAAATGGTTCCCTTGATACAGAAGCGAAGCGCACGCGTCGTCGTCGTCGTCGTCGTCGTCGCCGTTGGTAACGGCGACGACATGGCTGTCATGACGCGAGAATCATGAGACTTTCCCACGTTATTGCTGGCCGAAAGAAAGTCACGAAAATGACCTTAATCAGCCGACATTAGGCCGCCGGAGGAAGAAAAAAAAGACATTAACCCGACGCGACGAAAATGAAAGTGGATCCTCGTTGACTTTTTTTCCTCTTTCTTCCCGCGCACTGACGAAGACTTTTGCGCATACCCTCCCTTCCCCCCTCCCTCTCCGCCAGACATTGCGACGCGAGCTTCGACAAATCGGGACATTCAAATCGCACGACACGCGTCTTGTACGATGTCAAAGTCCCCCCCTCCCCCCTCACCCGTGCGACTATCTGGGAGCTATTTCTGCAAAGGCACAGCAGAAACGAGCGAACGTTTTTCACTCCTCTTCACGCCTCCTTCCTCCTCCACTTCGCGCTCCTCTATGCTGAAGAAGTCCGCGAGAGATCGATATGTCACACCGTCGTCGATCTCGACCATCGCCTCGCCCGACGACCCGGTCGAGCGATTACATAATTCGCGTCCAATTAACTCGATATCCGCTCGAGCGCATTTTGTATCGGATCCGGGCCGAGCGAAGCCTCGGTGTGTTTTCTTTTCTCCCCCGTACGCGCGTCCGGATACCTGTCTCTCTCTCCCTCTCTCTCTCTCTCTCTCTCTCTCTCTCTCTCTCTCTCTCTCTCTCTTTTTGGGACACGATAGCACAGCTTTACGAGCGGGCCTCGAGTGTCCAGGTCCGTTTGTCATAGGTCCCTGAAAGACCCGAGGCGAATAGGAGGAGATGCGGGCAAGGGAGTAGGAACAGACGAGAAGAGAGGGTACCGTGTTGAGGCCCCTCCTTCCTAACCCCTTCCCCGTGGCCGGGGAGAGGATCCTCCGGCCGTCCGGCAGGACCCCCCACCAAAGGTACGAGAGGACCTGCGACCCACCTGTGCCACGGATGGACCGTGCATGCTTCTCCGCTGATCCGACGCACAGTGTGCCCACAAGGCCCATTCGAAGTATACTTACGAGAGCGCGCGAGCGAGCGAGCGAACGAACGAACGAACGAACGAGCGAACGAGCGAACGAGCGAACGAGCGAACGAGCGGACGGACGGACGGACGGGTGAGCGAGCGAGCGGAGGCCCGGTCGTGCGGGCGAAGTGGGACCGCAGAAAATCGACGGAGGTGGGGGTCGATTCAAGAATCGACGTGGACACCCTCGCCTTCCAAAGTCATTCACCTAACGGTCATCGGCGCGTCAAGAGTCTTCATCTTCTTCCGTTATCCGGTTGCACCGGTCGCGAGAGAGTCCTGAGTGTTCGCCGTCGGTTCGCGACCTTTCGCGCAGCACTAGAAGACGACAAGAAGGAGGAGGTGGTGGTGGAGGAGGAGGAGGAGGAGGAGGAGGAGGAGGAGGAGGAGGAGGAGAGGAAGAGAGGAGGAGGACGAAGAAGAAGACGAATACGAGGAAGGGAGGAGGAGGCCTCCTCTTCGAGTCCGGATTGTGCTTCGCGCGGTGTCGTGATTCGACGGTCGTCGTGGAAAAAGCGGACGCTGTCGAGATGCCCGTCGCGGAAACCTCCTCGCCTCCACGTCGCGGCCCTTGAGACAGAGGAGACAAGTGCGCGGCTGGACCTGCTGATCGCGACCTGCACCTGTCGCAAGATCGCAGCGCGACGACTTCGCGCCGCGTCGCGTCGCGCCGCGCGCGCGCGCGCGGTTCACGTCGCGTCGTGCTCGTCCGCTTGATGTGACTCGTGACTCGAGGCTGAGGTGTTGGACACTTGATCGAGTCGGGCGTTTCCGTAGCGCTCGGGATAGGTGAAGTTCTTCCCCGCTCTTCCCCGTGGCAGGACGTTACTCGCGCGTGTTCCTCGTGGGACTCCTCGTCGGGAGAGAAGTTCGACACACCGGTGACAATCACCGGCGTTCTCGTTGCGCTCGGTTGCAGCAACGGTCAGACTCTGGAGAAGCACTCGTGGTGGCACCGACGCTCTCTGTCGCGGTTCTTCAGGTGATCAGTGTGAAAAGAATCAGTCGCTCCGGACATCGCCGGGAGTGACGGGACGTGTTCATAGTGGAATTATCAGCCAGCGCGTCGAAGCAGCGCCGAATCACCACTCAGGTCTGCCCTGAACCGAACGTTAATTCGTCGTAACGATCAAGGTACGTTATGAAGCGCGGCTCAGTGGCTCTAGAGATTACTCGACGGTGTGTCTCGGCTCGCTACCGGCCGGCTTGTCAAATACGTCGCGAGAGAACGCTGCATTATTTTCCGATTTATTTCGATGTCTTCAACGTCGGGAACGTACGTGACAATCTCGGCGAATTTCAGTGCTGAAGTCGCCGAGTCGCGCGAGCTCAACGCGAGGAGACGCGACGCGAAGCGTCGCGGCCGACGGAGCGCCGCGAGCAGCGAGCGACGACAGTTCCGGAGACGTCACGTGCAATTAGCAGCAGCGCGCGCAATGCGATTGTCTGCTTCCAGCCGTTTATCTAAATAGTATCGGTGGTCGCGATAATCAGAGTCTCCCGCGTCTCCCTGTCTGATCTCGAAAGCGGGGAGCGACGAGATGTGAACGTCGCGTCGAGGTCCCGTTTGCGACTCCTTTCGACTTCGCGAACGTCGGCGAGGCCCCGCGACGGCACCGTTTCACCCGCTAGACCGCGAATCGTCGCGATCGACCGGTCGATCGAGTGAACGAACGAGCGGACCAGCGGGAAGGCGGGCGGGCGGGCGGGCGGGCGAGCGAGCGAGCGAGCGAGCGAGCGAGCGCCGATTACGACAATAGAATCGGAAACAACGCAGCCCGGCGCGTAGCGTCGCGCAACGCGCGAAGGCCGATCGTTGCGGAGCGCGCGTTGCGGAACGCCGCTCCGTTTCGAAAGAGCGGAAGTCACTCTTTGCAAACTGGATCGCCGCTCGCCGAGATGAGGTTGCCAGATGAGCTTGCCGCGAGAGAGCCGCTTCCCCGCGGGAATCGCGCCGGGAATCCCGCGGCGATCCCCCTCAGGGGGATCGACCAGCGGCTCTTTCGGCGGGCCGCTTCGACCGATAGAGCGATCTCGATCCGCCCTCTTGCCGAGGGCGCGGTAATTCCGCCGAGCGACCTGTAATCAGGAAGCGCGAGAAACGGCAACGCGGCGCGCGACGCGCGACGGCTCGGCCAGCTGCGGCGCGCGATGAACCGATCCTCGTGGCGCAGCCGACGACTCGGACGCCCGGGAAAACGACGCCGGGCCGCTGCTTTTTACTGCGAATATCCCCGACATAATGACAGCCGAAGCGAGCGGTAAAAGAATCAGCGAGACCACCGGCCGCTGAACCCGCTCTCTATCGGGCCCCGAACACCGCCGCCGCCGTTTCGCTTGTCAAGCTCGCTTTTTAACCTCGGCCGGCCTCGGCCGAGGGAAAACGAGATTCTTCGCCGCTTCGGAGATATTCGCACAGGCACGTCGAGAAATGCGAGACTTCTGTCTCCTTTTTTGTTTCCGTGCCTGCGATCTCTGACTCCCCGACGGGGTGGGGGGAGGGGAGGGGGGGGGGACGTGCGTGTTCGTGGATTTCGGGAGATGAAGGGAGAAACGCGAGAGACCATGCGACCATGTTCTCGAGAGACACTTTCCGAACGGATTCTTCCATTTTTTCCTTCCAATCCTTTTCCCTCCTGTCGCGAAAGCGCCAGGACGCACTCGTTGTCAACGGCATTGTCGCTAAAAATTCGGACGACAGTCCGAAGTCTGAAATTTTGTCCAGGCTCTTGCAGCTGCAAGACTTCTCAGCCGTTGTGCGACTCCTCGCATTTGAAAACACGTCCGCACGCTCTCCTTCGCAATTTTCTTTTCGCAGAGGCTGCTGTTTCCTACTCCAACTGCTCACGATCCACCAAAACACCCTGAACATCACGATTCAAAAGCAACGTCGGTGCCGCCAACTTCAAGTTCTCTCAATTCTGTACTATGCTTCTGCCCCCGTCACTTTCGCCGCGAGACCCCTCTCGCACAGCTCCCAAATCGCTAGGAAAGAGAATCGCGACGGACGAACGCGACATCCCGGCGCGTCGTCACGGCGCTCGAAACGGTGTCGCTGGCGGTGTCGCGAAGGTGAACGCGAAGGAAAGGAGAAGCGAGCCGCGGAGGAATCACGAGGTGGATCGATCGCGTCCCGCTCTCGTGCGCGTCGAACGTCTCGCGGCCGCCTCGCTCGCAGTCATCGTCAATGATCGCCGAGGACTTGGCGAGCCGCGGGAGTCGTTACGATTCTCACGGCTCGCTCGGGCCCCGCGCCTGGCGCAACAACAATCGCGCGATCCGCAAGGTCAGCCCTCGTGGCGGTCCCCGACGATCTTGACGATGATCGTTGCCGCCGAGAGATCCGCTCTCGGCGATAATCCGCCGCGCGCGGACGCGTCTCTTTGCCATTCTCTCTCTCTCTCTCTCTCTCTCTCTCTCTCGCCGCCGAGCAGGCGGTCGCTTATTATGGAGCACCTTTACGCCTCGCGCCGATCGCGGCGCGACCAAAGCGGCGAATCGAAGATATCTGGCTTTTATCGAGAGGCGAGAGACCGGGTTCGCACGCTCGTCGTCGCGGCAGAAGCGCGCCTCTTCGTTACGAGTCGCCGTGGTCGCCGCGAGTGAGCGCAAGCGACGATCTCGCGAGCGAGGAAATTGAGGGAGGACGACACACACACACACACACACACACACACGCGGTACGTAGTAACCCGCGATAATAGCTCGTAATCTTAATCCCCGCGAGCGGAGTCGCGGGCTATTACGATTACCCAGCCGTGAATCAGCTGTTTACATGCGGCAGGCAGCCGCGGACTGGCGGGCGGATCGGCGTAACAAGTGCGCGTCCACTCGATTATCATCGTCGTCGGGAGTAATTGCGAAATCCTCGTTTAAGACGGATAATTCTAGCGAGCAGCGGTGGACGGACGGACGTGACGTGACGTGACGTGACGTGACGTGACGTCCGTCGATCGTTCGCGTTCGGGCGAAGCTGAGAACCGATCGAATTTAAACTCGAAATGCACAAGCGAGACCCCTCGAACGCCGGCGAGCGACGAAAAGAGAAGCGAGACGAGATTTCGTAAGAGAAGAAAAGCACTCGAGATTCTCTCTACCGTCGTGGAGATTCTCTCCTTGGGGGAAATACGCGAGATAAATTCGGAATCGGGTCGGTCAGCCGTTAATTCGCGACTCGATTCGTGAATCACTCGGGAGACTGACCGGGTGATCAGAGCTGTCGGACGGATTTCCGTGAGATTTCGTTAGATTCGACCAAACGACACTGCCTACCTTTCTACTTTGCTTGCGACACCTCGCCGCGATAACAATGTCACCGTAATCGCTTCGTATCGACACGGAGTCCAGGTTGCAGGCTATCCCAGCTGAGCGAGTTACCTGTTACCGGATGCGCACCTTCGATCAACGCAGGTTGCTGTCGAGCAGGCGTCGCGAGGCGTCGACGTGTCGCGCCTCGGCGCTCGGCTCTCCTCGCCCACGGGGATCGTCGTCGCGCGACAGCGTCAACGGGCCGAAAAGTAAGCCGCTAATGAGGCTACGCCGAATAAATAATTCGACTACGATTGAGAAATGCCAGCCAGGTATCGGCTCGGTTTTGCCAGTCGTCGAGCGCCACCGAGCAAGCCGCGACGGCGACACGCCAGTTTTTCGAAGCGCGTTAGAAAAATATCCGCCGCCTGTGGCGACACTGCGATCACGTAAGAAGAGATATCGCGGCCGATCTCGCGGCGCATAACAACGCGCGCGCGCGCGCGCCTGGCGGACTATTGGGCGATTTTCGCGAAACAGATCCGCAGGCGAAGTCCATTCTCGTCGTCTCGCGCGCGTCAACAAGCGCTTACGTCCGCGCTTGTGATTATCGCGCGGCGCGGCGCGGCGCGGCGCGAGGCGACGGAGAGAAACGACAACAAACAGGAGGAGGAGAAGGAGGAGAGGAAAAAATACAAACGCGGAATTAAAGGCGCGGGCAGGCAGGCAGGCAGGCAGGGAGGCAGGCAGGCAGGTAGGTAGGTAGGCAGGTAGGCAGGTAGGTATACCGCGCGGCAGGAGCGGCGGCATCCGCGAATGATAAGTGTCAACGACAGCGGGGTGTAGGTCAGGAGAGAGGGAGGGAGAGAGAGAGAGAGAGAAAGACTCCGTTGGTCAAACAAAGTCGATGTCTCTTCCATTAGTTGAGATTTACTTTCCCATTTAGCGACAGTCCGTCACGTATGAAAGTCGACGCTGCGGTGGGCACGGTTGTGGGGCCCTCGGGCCGCGGCAAACATCTGGGTCACCGCTATTGTCCCATATTCGTGAACCCCTGACATTTCGGCGGAGGAGGGAGTGAAAAGCCAGAGGGAAACGCGTCAGGAGAGCGCGAACGCGACCGGGCAGGAAGCGGGAAGCGAGATGCCGTTGAGGAAAAGGAAGAGTCGTCAGCGCGCGAGCGAGAGAGAGAGAGAGTGAGAGAGGGGGGGGACATCGCGGTAGGAATCGAGAGCGTTTGTTTCCGATCGCGACATCTCTCGCGTCGCTCCGCTGGCCTACGCAAATGCGCGTTGTGCAAGGCATAGCGGGAAATAAAAGCGACGAGGTGTGAAAACGAGACCGCGGAGCCACGGTCCGTTTTCTGGACGATCGACCAAAGAAGGCGAAAGGAGCGAGCGAGCGAGCGCGCGCGCGCACGCGCCGGTGGCGGCGGTGTTGAAGCAGCGAGCGAGACAGAGAGAGAGAGAGAGAGAGAGAGAGAGAAAGACCGGGAGCGAGAGGAGGAGAAAAAAGCAAGCGCAAGAGTTTTCCGCTCGTTGAACGTAACACGCACCGCTTTGCCACGATCCAGCGATTCGCGCGACCCGTGCCGCGCGCGGAGCGGCGCATTATGCAACGCGCTTCTTCTCTTACTCAATCGGCCGATCGGCGTAGGCGTGCGCGCGTGCGCGCGATAAAGATTGCATCGGCGACTTGTCAAAGGTACTACTCTCGCCGGGGCCGATCTACTTTTCGCTTCCGCCGCCGAAGGCGCGATTGCTTCGCGAGCACCGGTTGCTCGCGGTTTCGTTCAAGATTACCCGCGGCCATTTCCGAGCCGCGAGGCGTACATCGGGCGGAATAATACGCGCGCGAAACACGGCTCTGCCGGTGGCACGCTGGGTCTCCGGCTCTCTGTCAAGAGTGGAAACGCCGATCGGGGGGCATGACTCGGCGGCCGCGAGACGTAACGTCGTCGTCGTCGTCGTCGACGAGTACGCGAGTAAAGTTCCAGCTCGCGCAGCGGCCGGCGAGAGTCTCGGCCCCGCCGCGCCATGGCGTCGGTATCTCCGGCTGCCGTTAACGGCATCATTGATGTCACCGCCTGCTAACTTCTCCAAATGGACAGACCCGAGTGTACGTATACCGAGTACAAATTCAACGAAAGCGATTCGACAGTCGTACCTTCGTTCTCGCGAGAGACTCCGCGCGTCAGATTCGGCTGTCGCGTCGCGTTCGTGCACCGTCAATGTGAAACTCGCAAAGGGGACTGATTTGGGTCTTGGGCTCTTGGGTAGGGACGTTGAATGTAAGATCTCGAGCAACACACGCGACGTGGCTCCGACGGGGAAGGTCGCGCTAGTTCGACGAATTCGCGTCAACAACGGCGAGTTTCTTACGCCGTTGATTCACGAAGGTGATACGACGCACGATTACATTTTGACTAGCCGGACACACACGCCTCAACGCGACGCAGCGACGTGACGATTGAGAGAGGATCGAGAGAGAGAGAGAGAGAGAGAGAGAGAGAGAGAGAGAGAGAGATTTCTCACGCGTGTAGAGCAGAGGAGAGCAGCCTCCGAGCGTGCGCGCGCGCACGTGCCGAAACGCAGCGGGCTCGGTGCGTAAAGCGATTGATTCCTTTGTCCGAGCAGCCACCTCGGTGCCGAAAGTCGATCGAGCGTCGATCGCGATAACAGCTATCGTTTTTCTGTTGCAGATGAATCAGCAGTGCAAGGTATGCGGCGAACCAGCGGCCGGTTTCCATTTCGGCGCGTTCACCTGCGAGGGCTGCAAGGTGAGTGAGTCTCTCTCTCTCTGCCCGCGAGTGTCAGACTACTTGACGCTCTCGTCCCGTAACACATCTCCCCGTGGGAATTTCTCCCGAATATCAGCCCGGGATCGGGACGATGAGAAATCGCCGATAGTGCGATCGACTTCCCCACCCCCCCAGCGATCGATACTTCACCTCGTCGGATACCTCGCGCGCACGCGGCAGAAAGAAGCGGCCGCCGCTCGGTTGGCGGCGACCGACGATGGAGAGTCGCGCGCGAGCAAAAATTGCTGCCGATCGCGGCTCGGACCCAACCGATCGCGCTCGGCTGTGTCCCATTATCCAGCGCGCAGCAGCTTCCCCGACGCGAGACCAAAGTCTCTCCGAAGAACTATATACTCGCCTCTCTCGCGCAGCTCGCGTTACACAAGCGCGTCGCACGCGAGAAGCCGCGCGCTGCGGAATCGCAGGCGGCCGTGAGGGGAGCCGATCTCTCGCGGTCGAAAAAGCACCGTCGCGTCGCGTCGGCGATCGAGGGGAAAGAACCTCGCTCCGGATCTGCCGCTCTAATAGCGGGCTTTTCCGCGGCTCGCTTTTTCTCGACGTCTACGCGCCGCTTCGCATCGCCATGCCAGGGCGACGCTCTTTCCCGCGATTTCGCAAAGGAGCCCACGAGCGATCGCTTTCACGAGGCTCGGCTCCGTGGCCGAGGTTAAACGTTCGGCCAGGCATGCGTGTCAACCTAGCCCGGAGGGTCGCGCGCTCGCTCCGTAAGCAGCGGCGCGGCCGCACGCACACACGTGTCAGCGATATTCGATGCGATCGAGAGAAAAAAAGAGAGAGAGAGAGAGAGAGAGAGAGAGAGAGAAGGGAGCGCGAAGCGATCGCACGCAGCGCATCAGCGTCGGCTCGGAGCGACCGACAAGCACGGACCGCACGGAGCGTGAAGCGAGCGAGAAAAACGGGAACGCTAGCCGCGGGAAAAGGGGGGCCGCGCGGAGGTGGGAGACCTGACATGCTACGATGGGCCTGAAAACGAAAATAACGAAACGAAACAATGTCGTGCTGACGTAACCGTGAACTAGGGCGGAAACAATTGTGGCGGACAAGTGCGAAGCGCCGGAAACGACGTCTCGCGAGGCGGCCCGGCGATCGGAACGAGAGAGGAGGAGGGGCGCCTCTTCTAGCGCGCCCTTCTCCCTTTTCCTGTTGAATAACTTGGCGAACTTGGCGGCAGCGCTGCGAGAGCTTCTCTCTCCGCGTGTAGATGAGCGTAAGTTTTCCGCTCCTCCCTTCTTCGCTTCGGGTTCTTCCCCTCCCCCGGGGAATCTTCGCTGCAAATTCACCCACCCGTCATCGTCGTCGTCGTCGTCGTCGTCGTCGTCGTCGTCGTCACTTTCATCAACGGTGACCTCGAGCCCGAAGAAATCCCGATCGCTCCGAGCTGGCCGAAAAGAGACGCGCCGGAGCTCGGAGAGCAGCGACGCGACGGAAACGAACGTAGCGTCGCTTCCAAGTAGGGCCCCCCCGTTTGCATAACTTCAACGTGCGCCAACGGGGGGAGACGGCCGGAGGTCGGAGAGGGTAACGTAATAACGGCAACATTTTCTCAATTGTGTCATCGCTTCTGAAGCGTCGCGCGACGTCCCTCTTCGCTCTCTCTCTCTCTCTCTCTCTCCCCCCCCCCTCTCTCTTTCTCTCTCCCCCTCTCTCTCTCTCTCTCTCTCTCTCGACCCCTCGCGAGCAGATCTTCGCGTGAGCGACGAGAAGAAGAAGAGGAAGGTGGAGAACGACGAGGAGGACGACGACGACGACGACGACGACGACAGCGAAAACAAGTGGAACGCGATGCCAGCCCATAGGTCTCGGCGACGCGCGCATCGGGACCAGCAGGCCGCAGGAAGAGCTCGTTTCCAGGACAAACGAACCAGAAACTATTAATAATATGCCGTGCGTACGGGCAGAAAAAGCGAAAGTGGACAACGCGGCCGCGTCGTCGTCCCTCTAAACGCACGCCCGATCCGCCCGATGCGACGGCCCGCGTAGTGGGCCGAGCGACATATAAATCGCGACGATTGGGAAATTCTAGCTGTCAATTCAAGCGAGGCGAGCCGAAACTCGCGCAATCTCGCCGCTCGCGCTGCTAAATCGCAATGATAAATCCACTCGGGCCCGACTCGATTTGACCGTTGGTATTCGCTTGGAAATAACAGCGAAACGAATCTCACCGAGTCGCGTCCCGATCGCGGCGACGGAGACAGAGAGAACAGAGAGACAGAGAGACAGAGAGAGAGAGACAGAGAGAGAGAGAGAGAGAGAGAGAGAGAGAGAGAGAGAGAAAAGGAGAGAGATGCACGAGATAATAACGTTTCCACGCGCTTGTTCCGCGCGGCGATGCGGCGCGAGAGAGGAGGAAGGAAAAATGCGGGCGAGCACGAAGCAACGAGAGCGGTGGTGTCGGAATCACGTGAAATTGCACCATTTGGGCAATTAGCACGAGAACGGCGAGCCGCACGCGCCTTCAACCGCACGCTTCGAACTCCCCCCCTTTCCCCTCTGCGCGCGCGCCATGAATGAGACAACGAGCATACGGTTACACGCTAACGACTCGGCGTTGCGCTCGTTACAAGTGTTACAATGCCGTTGCAGTGTCGCGTCGCTGCTCTCCGAGCCGGCCGACTCCGTCCCCGTGCCGAGAGAGAGAGAGAGAGAGAGAGAGAGAGAGAGAGAGAGAGAGAGAGAGAGAGAGAGAGAGAGAGAGAGAGAGACGCGAGATTAATCTCCGCGCAAACAATAACACCGCGCGCCGCGTGTCGACAATGGCTGAAGAATTCATTTCGCTCGGTGGAAATCTCCCGATGATGATTCGAGGCGCTTTTGAATTTTTGCGCAATCGCCACCGGAGGAATTCCCGCCCGCCCATCTACTCGGGTAATCGCACAGAGACTCTCGTTAGCACACGTCCTCCCGTCCTCCTGTCTCCCCCTTCCTCCCCCCCTCCCCGCCCCGGCCTCCGTCGCACCCGCGCGACCTCGATATTAATTAGCAATTGAATCGCGCGATTGGGCGCGCTGCATATCTCACCGCACGTTACATTAGCCCGCTAATTAGCCCGCGCGCGTTTCATGTTGCAGTCCTTCTTTGGCCGATCCTACAACAACCTCAACAGCATCGCCGAGTGCAAGAACGGCGGCGAGTGCGTCATCAACAAGAAGAACCGTACCACATGTAAGGCTTGCCGTCTACGCAAATGCCTCTTCGTCGGGATGTCCAAGTCCGGCTCGCGCTACGGCCGCAGGTCCAACTGGTTCAAGATACACTGTCTACTGCAGGAGCAGCAGCAGCAGCACCAGCAGCAGCTGCAGCAGCAGCAGCAGCAACAGCAGCAGCAGCAGCAGCAGCAGCAGCAGCAGCAGCAGCAGCAACAGCAGCAACAGCAGCAGCAACAGCAGCAGCAGCATCACTACCAAGCCGGCATCTCCGGACAGCAGTTGCAGCTGCAGCAGCAACAGCAACGCAAACCGACGAGCCCGCCGATCGCGCTCCACGGCGGCCAACGCAAGGACGAGGTCCACCTGCTCAGCATGGACGACTACAAGAACTCGAGCTCGCCGAGCATCAGCTCGCCCGAGTCCCTCAACAGCGACAACTCGGTCGACGTGTCCGAGAGGAGAGCCGCCTACGCCGGCCACCCGGGCTTCCGGCCGCTGCACCCGCACATGCAGCACTCGATGGCCGACCTGTCGGTCCTCAGCAAGGAGATGATGAACTTACCGCTGAGCTTCCACCTCGGGGGCATGTCCCTGTTGCCGCCTACCTTCTTACCACCGCCTGGCCTCACCATGTTCCCGCCGTACCACCTGTACGCGACATCGCCCGCGGCGCCGCACCCCCTGGTGGCGCACCAGGCGTCCAACATCCTCCGGCACTCGCCTGCCGTCACCGACGAGCACATCGACCGCGGCTCGGCGAGCTCGACGGTGACGTCCATGATGGTGACGCCCGCCGCGGTGGCGGCGGCGGCGGCGGCGGCGGCGGCGGCGGCAGCGGCGGCGACGACGACGACGACGACGACGACGACGACGATGACGACATCGACGGCGGCGGCGGCGACGATGGCCGTCGCGAGCGCTCCCGTCGACGAGAAGGACTGCGAGGGCAACGTCAACAACAACAACAACAACGACCAGTCGGCGCATAATCACAACGTGCGCGCGCTCAGAGACAACGCGTCGCCCGGCACCGACGAGCACGAGGAGCACTACACCAAGCGGTTCTACCTGGACAGGGTGCTGGAGAGCCAGCGGGCGTCGGCCGAGCGCTCGCCCACGCCGGTGAATCCCCGATCCTGCGACGCGGCCTCGCCCGGCTGCGCCTCGTCCGAGCAGGAAGCCGACTACCTGCTGCAGCAGGAGCAGCCGATGGATCTGTCCATGAAGGCCACCTCGACGACCACCACCTGCGCCAGCGAGCACTCGGAGGATCAGGAGAGCGCGAGCGACGAGGACGACTCGCTCGAGGCGAAGAGGCGGAGGCTACCGATAGACTTGACGACCAAATCCTAAGAGAGCCGGCCGGACGAGAACGCGCGAGTCGAGCGAGAGAGCCGGGATGATGCGTTCAATTGCTTCTTGTTTCTTCTTCGTTGTCGCCGCGTCTCCTGTTTTACCGTGTCCAAGTTTGTGATATTTGCGGCCGCGTATCCGCAGTCGTCGCGCATCTCGCGCGTCTCGCTTGGGCGGCCGAGTTCAGGATCGCGATTCCGCCGGAGAGATTCGCGTCTACGTCGAGGAGAGCTCGCCTCCGAGTGCCTCTCGCGACTATAGACACACACACACACACACACGCACACAGGCCTTAGACGCGAATTTGAGAGTAGACGTGTTTCTTGCGTACGTATAAATATCTAGCTGGTAGTTTCGGCTGAGTGAGAGAGAGAGAGAGAGAGAGAGAGAGAGAGAGAGAGAGAGAGAGAGAGAGAGAGAGAGAGAGAAAAGGAGAGATAGTTAGAGCGCAGACTCGTAAACACACACACACATACACACGCGACGCGTGTTCGCGGCCATGGAGGCCGAATCTCGTCTCGGGGGAACGAACTGTTGCGACGTTACTCACGATTCGAATAGTCAGTGACGTCGACGCGAATACGTCACGTCACGTTGGGAGACGTCGACGCAGCCAATATTCGTCGCGAATTTTCCTCGCGAATCACCGCTGAGCGTGGCTGCGCGGACACGCGACGCGGTTCAATCGGACGCGTATTAGAAGCTCCCAGCAGTGTTCAACCTTGTGAGACGGAGGACTCCTCGTGCTTCCTGCTGTCCTACTTCCCGCGATCGTCTCACGCAAACGCCCGGCTAACTTTGCTAACGTATGCGCGAGAATAAATAGGTATCTAAAAGCCTTTAGATATGTATCTATCCTTGAACGCATCCTTTGAGCAATGCTCGGTAACATTGCTCGGGTTAGCCGCGCGCGTTTATACGGCGTTCAAGGTTGAGACGCGTTCGAGATTGGACCTGGTCGTCTCCGCTTGCTCGCGAGCTTCCCGGCTGAGTTATCCGGCGACGATCCGGAGAATGCTCGCAATTATGACTCGACTGACGAGTCGTCGTGACAGTCGGCGCCTCTGCCTCCCGCAAGTTCTCTTCGAGTCGACTCTTCGAGTCGAATATGGATTCGTCGATATTGTATTTCCGGTTGCATCCGGGCGTATCTTGTTACCCTCGTCGTAATTTAACGCAAGGATAATTTTACAAATACCATACGCTCTCGGGAGAGTTTTTGTGCAACACCCGAGTGTTAACTCTACGAGAGTGTTAACTTTACGATGTAACGCGGAAATGATGAGGGAATGTGTTTGGCGAACCTCCGCACGCGGGAGAGAATAATCGTCGGGTAGCAAATTATCCGAAAGCATTCGAAGTAATTCAATGACGGTTGATTTGGCGGACGCGTCGACTTCGCCTCGAAGCGAACTCGACTTGTATAATCGGACCTCAAATTCGACTCGACCGACGCGAGTGGCCGCACAGTGTGACTAGTAGAAATCGCTTTATTTAAACGCCGACGAAGATAATTGTCTGCATTCCGACGAGCGCCGATGAGAACGAGCGACGCTCAGCGGCTTTAAACGGCTAAAGTTGTAGACGTCGACGGCATCCGTGAAGACTGTTACCAAACTTTGTCGGAGAGCTTGTTATCATCGTATCTTAGATTATTTTTCTAAATAACTTTTACACGCGATTAAGAGACAAGAATATCAATATTTTCTTAATACACCGGTATACTCTTCCGCTAATGCGCGATAGCGATATATTAAACAAACGCAAAATTAAAGCTCCCTTAGACACGTTTAGTGATACGACAGCATCGTGAAATGACGATAAATCGCAAACCGCGTCGAGCGTGCTGTGTTGAGAAATAATCTGACAATGGCCGGAAGAGGGAAAGACCCAAGATGCGGTCGCCGCGACGCTCTTCACCGGCGCCGTCGATACAGTTCCGCGTGCCTCTCGCTTTGTGTTCTCGCCGACGGAAATTCCTCCGACTCTCAACCCCGACGAAAATCCCTTTTCGCGAATGCTCCACAAGAGCGCGGCCGGCTCGGTGCCACGGATTAAGAAACGTTTCCAGCAGATTAGGGAGAACACGCACACGCGCGCGCGCGCACGGAAACACCGACGACGCCTTCGCGTGAGAAGAAATCCCCGTGAGAAGAGAGCGACTTCTTAGCCTTAGAGAGTGCTTCGCGCTCTCAGCCGCGCGAACCGCTCGCGGACCGCGGACGAACGAGATTCGAGCTCGTGCCGAACGCGAAACGCCAGATTCCCGCGGCAGCCCTTAATTAGCTGCTCGCGCGAGTACGGCCATCGCCGCGCTGCCGTGACCTCCTCCTGCGCGCGGACGGACGATCCAATCGCTCGTACATGCGCGTGCACCTTCGCACCGCGCGTCTTCGGCCGCGAACGCTCGAGCGACGCGGCTCGCGCGGCGGCGAGGAGGAGAAGGAATCGCGACGTCGGCCGACGTCTCAATCCCGAGAGACGAGAGCGGCCGCCGATCGATGCCCGCTTGCGCAACGGCCAATCGACTTTAACGAGATTCCGCCGTTTTAATTAACGAGCGCATGCGCGCTCGCTCGCTCGCTCGCTCGCTCGCGGTAATCACACGAGCGAGCGAGACGAAGACGAACGACGAAGGACGCGAGCGCCGCCCGATGAACACATCGAGCGTGCGTGCGCGCGTACACGTGTCCGCGCGTACGCCACGCACCGGCGCCGTGTTCACGTGTGCGCGACACGTCGGTAGTCGCGCTTTATCTTGCGAGGCCGCGCGCAACGACCGCCGACGTTGTTTCCTCTCCGCGCCGGCCGCTCTCCCGCGCGCGTGTCCTGAGCGATGTTAAGGAAGAGTAGCGTTTAGGACGGTCGAATGGACGACAAAGTGTCCCGGGGCTTTCAAGCATCAATCTCTAATCTTCGATCGTCGAGAGAAGGTCATTTCTTTCGTCTCCGAAATTCACTTCCGCTAGGGGTTACTTTCGCGCGAGAGGGTGAACAATCGCTCTTGGCCGTCAGCGGAATGCTTCAAATCGACCGTCACTTTTTCTTGGTAGTGTCTTCGTTAATTCTACGATCGGCTAGGCTCGCGCGGTAAAGTACAAATTCAGACATAAGCAGGGCCCACGAGTGACTCGTCGGCTGTCGCTTCGCCGGAATTCACGTCGCGACTCTTTCCCGTCCAGGTAAATTTGCGCAATTTACCGTAAAGCGAGCTCGTGAGAGTAATCGCGCACCTTACTCGCGCGCGCTCCTGCTCCACGCATAGCCCGATGTTTCGAGCATAGGCCTCGGCTAAAGTTTAAATATAGCACGTTCACGTACTCTCCCCGCCACGATTCCGCCCGATTCTGAGGAATCCGCCCGGCGCGAGAACGGACCGAGAATTTCGGGGAGACGCTCTCGGCCCCGGGTGGGTTCTCACAGGTGTCGCACGGTTACCGGGATACCTTCCCCGTCGTGTTGCTCACTTGGCGGACACAACTTCGCTTTTAGGAACGGAGCCGCGACGCAATTTGTAGACCCTTTCGCGGCCGGTAGTGCCTTTCTGGAATTTAAGACGGTCCGCTCGCGCGACACACACGCGCTGTGCCGCGCTCGACTGGACGAGAAATCGCCCGCGTCGCATCGACGCGGCCGGCGATCGACGCTCTGAGATTCTCCTCATCGCGCCGACAGCGGAAAGGAAAAAACAAAACAGAAGCTCGCGGACTCGCGATTTGTAGTGGGCGCAACTGGACAAGCCGGACTTCGTCACAAGTGCGTTTCGAATGATAAAAAATTGGCTGCGGATCGACTCGATGGATGGACTCGAGGCGGTACTCATAATCTGAAAGAGAAAGAGGGAGATTTACGCACAGTTGTCCTCGAGGAGATCTTAATACGACCCGCAAGCCACGATGATCCTCGCAGCATCCGAAAGGATGAACCTGCGAGAACCTCAGTTGTATAAGATCGGACTATGAATATCGTCGAAAATTATCGTGAATTACGAGGATGAAGTTCTCGTTGCGAAGCTCATGCCCGTGCGATGAAGAGCGATTCGTCGTCGTCGTCGTCGTCGTCGTCGTCATCGCCGACGTCGGGCACGCTCCCAGGCAAAATACTCGAGAACCCCGCGGTGGAACGCGATCGCAAGTTAAGTCCATGAGATTCGTGTACATAAAGTCTGTAAATATAGCGAGTAGTCATAGAACCGTCTCCTCCCCCGAAGTATTATCGTACTCTCATAGCGGTAACGTCGAACCCGACTGCGTTTTCGTAGACGTGCGATCGCGAGATGAGAAAGAGAGCGAGAGCGAGAGCGAGAGCGAGAGAGAGAGAGAGAGAGAAACTCGAACGAGTAACACGCGAGCGGTCACCATCGATCACAACGTTGACATCGCGTCTCATCGTTAAACGCACCCTCCCTCACTTCCCTACTCCACTCCCCTCACCCTGTAGATCGAACGTAGTCAGTAATGGCCAGTATTGTATCGACGATTGCAATAAATCATCTCGAACATGTGCAATTCCAAGTTCACTGTATTCAATTCGAACGCACGCGCGCCCGCTCGCGCGAGGCATGTAGACGAAGAGACGCGTCTCCGCATATGCTGTTAGATAAGACGGGGCTAGATTGTAAATAGACGGCATATGGTTTGTGGGAACGGGACCGGGGCCAGTAAGAGTACTTCACTTGTACGCTGATATTAGACAATAATAAAAGTCCATTCTTTCACGAGTCACTTGTATGCGTGTGTGTGTGTGTGTGTGTGTATGAGATCTGTTTGTGCAAACGACGCTTAACGCCATCTCCTTCCCCCTCCCCGTCGATTTGAGCCGTCGACACGACCTCTTTTTCCGCGCATCGGGCGGAAAATGCCCGACGCAGGTAACACGCGCGGATCGGCTAAATTAAAGGAGTGCGGCGAGCGACGCTGAGGTTTAAACGCGGCGAATGACGCGGACGCGGCGCGGCCGCGTTTGCTCGTAATGCCCCGATATGAATATTCAACGTACGTATGCGAGGTGCTCACGTACGCGCGCGCGCTTTTCGCAATGCTCTGTTTGGCGAACATACAAGTCGCGTGTATTGCGTGTATTGCGTGTACAGTTCCGCGACTCGGCGACGTTTGCGCTCGCTTTCGTCGAGCGTTCACCACGGCTGTCGAAGCTGAGGTAACGTCGCGCAAACAGCGAGGAGGACTGCCCGCTGTTTGATGTTTGCCCGAGGGATTGTTACAAGAGAGGGGGGAGAGACACGTAGAAAGAGATAATCTTCCATAACGTGTAGCGTAGCGCTAATCGTATTGTTACTCACTTATAATAAAAACACCCAGAGTCACAACGTGATCCTTGGTGCAGTCTTTTAATTGGGTCGCTGCTTGAGAAATGAGTACAGAGGTATGTAGCTGTGACGATAAACGCACTCGCGCTGCTTCGCGCGCAGATCTCGTATCGAAATGAATTCATCGCGGTGAGATCACCGCGAATATGCGCCGCGCGCGCGCAGGAGGGTGATGAATATTTACAGACGCGCAATCTGCCGGCCTAGCCCCGGCGCTCAGTGATTGGACTTGGACACCGGATGGTTCGTCGTGAAGACCTCGTAGTCGACCACGGAGAAGTGATAGTCCCCCATCAGCACGGTGTTGGACGCGTGATCGCCCTCGTAGCTGTGCGGCAGGTTGCTGTAGCTCTCCTTGTTGACGTTGCAATTGCTCGATATAAGCAGGTCGGCGCCCGCGCCGAAGATCGGCCCGATGCTGCAACACACGCGGCGTTAGAGAGATCGAGTTGCGGGGGGGGAACACACTTTCCTTCTCTGTAAGAATCGCGTCTTTACTCGGGGTGGTGACAGGTCGCGAACGACTTCTTCACGATGTCGAACTTGGTCGGCGGCACGTCCTCGTTGTTCGCCAACGTGAACAGGAAGGCCTTCTCCGAGGAGACATAGTGCGCCTTCGCCGGCTTGCTCCATGGACTGTCGCTGAAGCCACCGCATATCTCGCCGCGCATCCCCTAAAAGCAGAGCGACAGAGCGTACTTCTACCGGAATCTCACACCTCCCACCGCTTTCTCTCTCTCTCTCTCTCTTTCTCTCGAGCGATCGCTCGTCATGACGAGCGAGAAACATGAGCGTACACACCCACCAGCACTATCACGTACGTCGGGCTGATGTTGTCGCAATGGCGGTGAAACGACGCCGCCGAGTATCCGTGGCTGGACGCCCTGAAAACGACAGATTGCGAGTCGTCACTACAATTCGGCAAACATGACATATCCTACGTCGACGACTTTATCCTGATCTATACGAGCTTGTAGCTTGTCTCACCTCAACTGCCTCAAACGTATTTTCCTTCGAGTATACGATTTAGTACAATAAAATCGTACGATCGAGTAAGAGTACGAGAGAATTACGTACGCAAAATAACACGTAAAATTGTAAGTTTAATGTTCGAGGACAGAATCGTTCTCGACAGTTTGGTAGCCACACAAGATGGCCACACACAGGAGACCCACCGATAGATGAGCCGCCAGCTCTGCTTGGCCACGCCGTACCACTGGTTCAGCAGCCGCTGCGAGCCCATCTTGTCCCTGGAGAGGATCTGCGAGCCCGGGAAGAGGAACGGGCTGACCCGCGGCTGCAGTCGCTTGTCCGTGCAGATCTCCGCAAACTTGTTCGGCAGGGCGGCATACCTATACCTAAAGCAATCGTCGAGATCGAAGGGTACCCGCGCGCGACGGTGAGTGCCGTCCCGCTAGATCGTACCTTAGAAATTCTGAGTCGCTCGAACATCGATCGGCATTGAAAAATTCGTACCTCTCCAAGGACAACTCGATCGGCACCGCGCCGGTCGGCTCTACCTCCTCCGCGAACACCTGACTGTCGATCAGCAACAGCCTTACGTGGTGTATCACGCCGGACAGATGCTGGCACACCCGCACGCGCTCCTCCTCGGTCCAATGTTGCGTGGGCTGCGTTACACCTGCCTGGGAGCGTACGATTAATCGCCGGTGTTTAATGCGCTACGTGCGTACAACTCACGACTATACACCCCGTGTGAGCGAGAGGTTCGACTCTGTCGAACGAGGGCGTGCAGGTTGTGGACCAAGCAGTGGCGATTAAAAATGCTAAGAAGCGTCGCTTTTTCGTGGATCTTTCTCCCCTCCCCCCTCGCCCCCATTGATTTTCTCTTTCTCTTTCTCGCGGCGGGACAGCCTGAAGAAGCGGAAACATGCTCGGGAAGACGGTAACGGGGCTTCCTAGGTGAGCACGAACCTGATACTTTGCCCAATTGAGGACCGCGCGCCACACATCCTCCTCCTCCAGAGCGAGGTAATCCGAGGATATCAGTTTAACCAGAGCGTCCTTCGGCAGAGTGCAAAACGCCGTTGTTTTTACCGTGTCCAAGGCGTTCTCACCGATAAAGGCGAAGCACCGCTCGATGAACGATGAGCACGCGACTTTCCCTGCTGGAGCACACAAATGGACTCGATAGGTGAAAGAAGAAGGGAACAGACTTAAGCCTAGGAAGCCGTTCTCGCCAGCATTATTGGAAATTAGAACTCGACTATTCGCATCCGTAATCCGCCGTGAAAACGTGATATTATCAAAAGACGAGAGAGTGGAGCTTTGATCGAGCTTGACAAACTTCATCTCGTAGTCGGAATATTCTGAAAAGAAGAGAAAATGATCCAATGTGAAGCGACATCAGCGTGTAAATGCGGTCGTTAATTTTGACCGTTGACAAGTGCCGTAACAAGGTAACGAGATCACTGACAAGATGTCGAATCTGAAGCAAGATGTTTGACTATAGATCTGTTCTTGCTTGAAGGACTTTAGAACTAGCGCAATAAGTTGGAGCAAAGCAGATATATTTTCTCTTATTCTAATTTATTGCATTAACGTAGTTGAAAAGTTTGTCAAAAAAGAACAGATCCTGTGTGTGAGTGTGTGTACTCGCGTACACACTTACTTGAGAAAGATCAATCGTTCGCACACCAAAAAGAGTATGCGTGTGTTTAATTAATTTCTCCATCTGTCATCTGATTAGATTCAAGTATTTGTCATTTGTTATTGACATCATTCTCGGCGCAAGAGTAAATGAGCATAGGTTGAAGCATGAAATTATTTAATGACCGCTTATGTACATCCTATTTATCCTCTGTAACTTCGCACGGTTACACATTCATCAGGGTGGATGTTTACAAGAAGAACTGTCTCACAATACAAAACAAAAATAAGCAACTTTGGATTGCCTAACCAACCAATCACAATGCATACATCTTCAATTTAGCATTAATTCGAAAGTTGTTATCACGTATGTATATTATTCTTATTATTATTATATTACAATGCAAATATGCTCGTCAAAAGTGGTCACACGCTACGCTCTCGGTAGAAATTAATTAAAACTAGGACAAACGTATCCCGTTCATCAGCCACGCGGTTCATTCTCTCCGAGAAATCCAAGAACACTCGACGATATCCCTAAGTTATCCAAATTTTCATACAGCTTCGAATGGGCTCGGGTTGAGGTTGTGTTTGAGGTTACACCACCATGATTAGTTGACTCCGGGATTCGTGTTCTGTATCAGCGTGATGTTGTCGCCCTTCAGCATGATCCGTCCCAGGGGTTTCCTGACCTTCGTCTTCTGATAGTACTCCTCGGCGTCGTCCAGCACCAGGTTCATGTACTCGTCGAAGCCGACGATGTGCCCCTCGATTCGCAGGTTCACGTTCTCAAACAGCCAGACTTGGACGCGCGAGCGGTTTTGCAGGTAGCGGAATATGAGGTTGATGGGCTGGACCATCACCTTCTGGACTTTTTGCGGACCCTTGTACGACATTTTCGTGGCGGTACGTGGAAAATTGGTCCTGACGGTAATTAACAGCGACAAGCAGCGTGGTTTCGCACGACGTTTAGACGCCAATATGGCGTCTGCTAGTGCTACCAACGCTGTCCGGCTAATGATCTAGTGACTCTCATGCCGGCATACACTCTCAAAATTTACCAGAACTGGGCTGGTTTGCATGGACACTTTCTACGGCAGCATTCTCCTCCGTGAGAACGTACGAATAATACACGTTGCATCGCATCCGTTCGATACAGTGCTCCTAAATCGTGGCCATTACAGGTGGAAAAAAGAATAGAAATTCCGACATGCTGATAGGGACTTTAGCTGAACATGGTTACACAGATTGGTCATATTACCAACATACTAAAGCCGCCGTAACGTGCTGCCGAGAACGTGCAAGCGACAAGCTTCAAAGCGGTCGATAAAAGCGCGCTCTGCCTTTGTAATCGTGAGTAAAGTCGCTTCTCCGAAAAAATTCTTTAAAAACAAATATCAAAATACTCGATCGACAACGTAGAAATCACCTTTTGAAATTAACGTCGGAAATTAGCAACGTGAGACTTACCCGGAACGCGATCCTGTGCCTCTAAAGCGGCAGTTAGAAGCGCACACGCGTTGCCAGGACTTAGAGTGGCCGACACGTGTTCCTCGCAACTTCGCCAGAGCTCGTCGAGACCGAGTTCCTGCGCCAAGCCCAACATCTCGAAAATCGCGCTGTCTTGCAGCATTATCTGTCATCAGTCAAGGCAGAATTTATGGGTGCCATGTAAAATTAGGTATACATTGTACGTAATTGGTACAACGGACAAGAAATTGCGCACGAGATTCTGTGCGAAGTTTGGTCGTTTGAGACATAACACAACGACGTGAGCTTATGGCGGAAGAGATGGAGAAACAAAGAAAAGTAAAGCCACGTTAATCCACCAAAACTTCGCGATTCCTTGCTCCTTCAGCTCATTCGAATCGTTTCGAACTGGGCTTTTTTTTTCAAGGAATTTTTTCTCTCACCGCAACATCGCCCCCGTTTATGACATGAGATATACCAACTTACATCTAACACATTCAACATTTCAGACATTTTCTTTTCAACATTTAAAAGAGCAATTCGCAAACATAGTAAATCAGGGAAAGGAGAGAGACATCGACCTCTCTCCGTGCGTTGAAGTCTATCAATTTCTCAACGCTCGCGAATAACTCGTCACATGAGGCGGACGAAGATACACCGAGAGAGAGAGAGAGAGAGAGAGAGAGAGAGAGAGAGAGAGTGAGAGAGAGAGAGAGAGAGAGAGAGAGAGAGAGAGAGAGAGTGAGAGAGAGAGAGAGAGAGAGAGAGAGAGAGAGAGAGAGAGAGAGTGCGGCAAAAGCACACAGAGGAAAATCACCGCCGACTGCTGACTGCACAGAGGGAAAGAGAGTTATCGGATAGCGCGACCGACACTCACCTTGCCGGTGTAGATGTAGTGAATAAACTGGCGAAACGTATCCGGATGCGCGTGCGACATTCGCACCGGCGTTGGATTTCCAGCCGTGCCTATCCTCTTCGGCACCGTGAAGTTCTTGCACCTGCAACATGATGACATTTCGAAACGAAGACACGTCTTTACCATAGACATAGCAATATAGGGACAGAGCATAGAGTTGCGGGGGGGATAACCATTGCGGGAACCAGTGCGACGAGGTAAACTGTGCCTAAATCTAATTGGTGGTTGTGCCGTGTGTTAGTATTTGATACATACATAGATGTGTATGAAGTTGTGTGTGAGTGAAATTATGAAAAAAAAAAAAAAGACACATAACCTCTGCATAACCTCTGCAAAATAATACTGTCAGTGTAACTGTCGGTGTCGTATAAGAAAAGATAAATACAAGTAATAGAATGGTGCAGTGTTGTGTTCCAAAGTGCAAGAACAGGTCCGACAGCCAAAATTGGAAAAAAAACCAACAACGTGGAGAAAAATTGAAAAATTACCTTTCACAGGTACGAGATTGCATGTACTGTAAAATAATTGTATTCAATTTTTAAAAAAGTTTTTTAACATAATATAAATATTTATGTTTAGCGTTCCAAAAAGTAATACCAGCCGCAATTTGTGGGCCGATATCTTAAATCTCCCATCACATATTCCAAATAGTGCACGTATTTGAATATGCGCGCTACTGTAGCCGATGGCTGCATTCAGCAGACTCAACAGTTGGACAACATTACTAGATTTTCCACTGAATCTCGCTCCTGATTGGCAAATACTTCTAGGTCTATGAAGAATCTAAAAGAATGCTCCAGTCACAGACAATAATCACTAAGCGCTCTCTGATCACTTTGTTCTACTGAACGCGGCCAATGAAACTTGGACACTTAGTCGCCCCCCGCATTTCAGCGCAGCACTCCTCTCCTCGCCTGTCTTACGGGCTTGTACCATAGACGTAGGAATATAGGGACAGAGGAGCATAAGCCCGTAAGATAGGCGAGGGGAGTTGTGCTGAAATGCGGGGGGCGACTGTGCCTAAGTTTCATTGGCTACAATAGCGCGCATATTCAGAGCGTGTGATGCAGAGCGACTTGGCTGTCACTGGCAAATAGTAAATGCAACAAAATGATAACACCGACAGTATTTTGCAGAGGTTATGTATGTGTCTCTTTTTTCATAATTTCACTCGCACACAACTTCATACACATCTATGTATGTATCAAATACTTACACAATACGGCACAACCACCAATTAGATTTAGGCACAGTTTATCTCGTCGCACCGTCCCGCAATGGTTATCACCCCGCAGCTCTATGCTCTGTCTCTATATTCCTACGTCTTATGACTTATACTTTGTCCTTATATTCCCATGTCTACGGTCTCTACACGCTGCCGTGCAACGATCGCCGGGACTCTTGCCCGCGATCGGTTACTTCACGCACTCTCCTTTTCTCTTCCCGCGTCTCTCCCTTTCCTTCGCTCTTTCTCTCTCCTCCCTCAAAGAGACAAACAAGACACGAGCACGTCGTCGTCGTCGTCGTCGTCGTCGTCGGCGCGTCGTAGTTGTTGTTGCTTACGCTACTACTTTCTCGCGGTATTTCTCATTACGCAAGAGCTTAATTGACTTCGTCACGAGGCAGCAGGGACACACGAAACCCAGCTACGAGCGGCTGGGGCGCGCTACTCCTATCCCTTGGAAATTAATGGCAACCTTCAGAAGCACCCTCGCGCATACCCTTCCGCGCGCCGTGGCATGCTGGTCGCGAGATAGCGAGAACGAGAACGCGCGGATCGAGAGGGGCCCCTCGTGACCCATTAAGGCCCGTTCGATTCCCGGACCCTTTGAATTCCGCCGGTGGCGTAATAAAGGCGAAGGTGTGCGCGCGCACGTAGTAAGACACTAATCTGCCCTGCGTGTAACCATTCGTTCTAATTGCTATAAATATACACGAGGTAATTCTCGGGGAAAACTTCGGCCGGAGATTCGCGTAACGTTACGTAACGGGAACGCAGTAATTTCGCGGTGCGATTAATCTGACCGGAAAACGGAATATCGAGTGTCCATTTCGCCGTCGCGCTCTGAGAGCCTCGCAGTTGACTCGATTTCAAATACTGACGTGGAACGTGCTCGAAACAATCAGAGAATCGAATCAATAGAATTCAGTTGAACAGTACCCCGCGGCGGTCGGGAGGGGGCAGGGGCTAAATATAAGAGTAATCAGCTGAAATATGAACGTGTTTGCCGCCGCGGATCAAGTCACCCGTCGGACGATCTTGGAACTCAAGCAGAAGCGAGCCCCTAGTCTCAGTGTCTCTTTTCTTCGTGTCCTTTGTTCTCCTCTTCTTTCTCGTCCCCTCCCCTTTTCTCGCGCGCGAGCAATGTATAATTAAGTGAGACGTCGAAGGGAAAAATACACGTACCCGGAAAAATACACGACGTTCAAGCGGTCCAACCCATTGACCACGCGAATGTATCGGAGGGAAATTGAATTTTCCGCGACCGGGGGCGGGGGTGGGAGCGGGAAGGGGGGAGTGTTATTCCAGCAACGAGAAAGAAAAGGGGCGGGGGCGCAAGTGAGCCGGCGCGGTCGACTCGGCGAACGCAAATTGATTCGTTTCTCAATCGACTCGGCCGGGCTTCGTTTTTATTCCGCGTAGTCTTAGCGACGTTAATTAGTTTCGCCAGACGGCCGTGGAAAGAAAGGAAAGAAGAAAGAAAAAAGAGAGTGGTGCATGATAATTCGTACTTCCAGTAACGACGGCCGGTGAGATAAATCCGTTAACAGCCCTCGGCTATTATTTTCCTTGTATTATTTAAGTTTATCGTCCGCGTCCGTTATTCCGCGAGCACTCGTCGCGCGAGCGAGTTCTCTTTATGAAAGATCGCCGCGATCATTTTCCAGCTCCGCGGAGCCCCGGGAGATTCGAATGGACTCTTTGCTACATTTATTAGTACCAATTGTTCTCGATTCTCCCTCACGCGCGCACACACTACAACGCATTTACTACAACGCGTTTAGGTATCAATTCGACGTGATTATTATTAAAGGCACGAGACAAAATGAGAAGGGTTGATTATCTCGGCTCGCTCGATGATCAAATTATAGCCCGAGGAACGGTAATTTTAATCGCATAATGAATATTCTCTCTCTCTCTCTCTCTCTCTCCTCTCCTCAATCTAATACGAATTATATCAAGTTTTTTAAAAGTAACGGACCTCCCCCTATTTCAGAATCTATGCATTATAGGAAAAAATTACTCCAACAATAGTTTTAGGGTTCATAAAGTTCTGTTCTTTTGTGACCTCAAATTTGACCTCGACCTCAACCTTGAAAGTCATTTAAAGGTCAACTTGCGTTTTTAAAATTGGAACCCCTATTTGTATTACACTGCTTTTTTCCTACCAATTAATTTGAACAACTTTTATCTAAAACATTTTTTTATTTGCCTAATATTTTTTGAGATATTTGAAGAAAACTTGATAACTTTTTCAATATTTAACTTACGACATCTCGCTAACTATTTGTCGGAAGAAAAAGTGGTACTAAACTTTTCTGCTCTATTTAATCTCAAAAATATATTGTTATAATAGCGCTCTGACTTTCGTTAACTTACCGACTTTTGGAAATTTCAAAATCATCAAATTAACAAAAATCAGGGCACTATTGTAACAATATATTCTTGAGACTAAATAAAGCAAGAAAGTCTAGTATTACTTTTTCTTCCGACAAATAGGTAGCGAGATATCGCGTAAGTTAAATATTGAAAAAGTTATCAAGTTTTCCTCAAATATCTTAAAAAATATTAAGCAAATAAAAAAAATGTTTTAGACAAAAGTTATTCAAATTAATTGGTAGAAGAAAACGGTGTAATAAAAGATAGAGGTTCCCATTTAAAAAACGTAAGTTTACTTTCAAATAACCTTCAAGGTCGAGGTCAAGGTCACAAAAAGGTCACAAAAAGTTTGAGGTCCCAAAAAAACAGAACTTTATAAACCCTAAAACTTTTGTTGGGGTCATTTTTTCCTATAATGCATGGATTCTGAGATAGGGGAGGGGGGGGGTCCGTTACTTTTGGAAAGCTTGGTATATACATCGCATCGTCCGTTATGTTCATCATACTTGTTCCGGCAAAACGCGTGCACAAAGCGCAACGTCGCGATAGATGGCCGGTTGGCGAGATTCGAGAGACGAGAAAAGGATTTAAGACGCCTGAACGGCGCGACGAAGTGTGCCGTGCGCGATCGCGCAAAGCACATCGGCGCCTTCAATGGAATCAAAAAGAATTGTGTCAAAGGGTGCGCAGCCGGCCGGGGGCGGCTTTTGAAGTCGCAACGTTACGTCGCGCGAGACCGGCCTGGCTGGCTGGGATACACGAAACGCCCGGGTGCGAGGAAACCGGCGGCTAAAGTGGATGAAAAGCGCGAAAATACGGCCAGGCACTTCGGCTTCGGTTAAGTCGAGCGTTTCCGACGTAGCAAAAGTTTCGACCTTTCTCCCTCCCTCCCCCCCCCTCTCTCTCTCTCTTTCTCTGGCTCTCGTGAAACTCGAAACTCGGGAGCACCGCGGAACGCGTGTGCACGCGAAATCGACGAATGGTGAAACAATGTTTATCCGAATAAACTGGAATGTTGTAAACCACACCACCATTTCACACAGCAGGGGAAATACCGCCTGAGAGGCGGAGATTAAAAAATAACCCGGTCGCCTAATGAGAAAGAATAGCGGACGTTAATCTGAATCGCGGAAGTTTCGCGAGAGGTCCGTGCAACATTTCTATCAATTACCAACTCGGCCGTCGCTTGCCGCCTCGTCTGCAGCGCGCAACTCGGCGCAAAATCGTCCGCGGACGCGTGGCTACCTACTAGGGATGGGCGATACGGTATCGATATTTTAAACTATCCTATCCTAGATACTTTTGGATCTAAATATCGATATTTTTCTTTTCAATATTACTGTGTGTCGATATTTCAAGAGCAGTATCGGACTTCCGATACAGTTCAATACAAATCATTAGTATTCTATTGGACGAAAATTTTAGCGTACCGAAACTTTTGGAACTAGCGCTACCAATCACAGCCATTCTCAGTTCCGTTTGCGTTTGAATTGTCGCAAATCGTTGCAAATTAATGGCGAGAATTCGATTGACATGCACTCGCTCCGTCCCAGTGCCTAGTAACTTTTTGTTATTAGGCGCACTTGTTCGAAGTGCGTATTTTTATGCTAACCTGAGTGCGGCTAATTTAAGAAGCTTTCTGAGTTTGCGTATATATCATGTAATTTGTTAAAAGTACTCCGTCTTAAACGAAAATGTCGCTGAAACTAAACAGATAATATTTTTAATCTGCAAACATTTAGGCCGGTATTCATAGTCGGATCTTATATTTAAGATCGTCTTAAGTTCATCTTCAGATATTGTGTGGATCATTTCATTGGCTACATGGTATCTAAACATGAACTTAAGACGGACTTAAATATAAAGCTGCATTCAGAAAATACAACGGTTACAACGGTTGAACAATTCGTCAATGTAATTGGATTCCTTCCTTTTTTCCTATGAAATGACTAGGAATACATCTATTTCTGACGCATTCCTAAACGGTAATTGTAATAGATTTTAGTATAAACAAGTATAAATCAATAAATAAATATATAGTAGGTACATAGTCAAAAATAAGGATATTAGTGGTATCGATATTACTACACTAGGAAAAATGTTACTACACTAGGAAAAATTGCTGCGTGAACAAAAATTTTGTTGTAACAACAAAATAATTTGGTTAAAATATGCCCACCTGTTTAGTGCCTGTACTGTTTAGTGCCTGTAAACAAATATCTTGTTTGATTACGGTTTGTTCGTATAACGTAATACTTTTGTTATAGCAATCAAAAAGCTTTAACTGTATGAATTTTGTTAAAAATACAATAATTTTTTCTTAATAAACAAAATCTAAATTTTAGCGCACAGAAAGACAAAATAGTATTACATTGGACATTATTTTAGTTTATGTAAAATAATATTTCGTTATTATGTAATTTTTATGGATAAAATAACTAAAATGCTTAATTTTTATATACGAGGTCCAAGAACAAAATCATTTGGTCCGGAGAACAAAGCAGAAAAATATATTTACTTGAGACAACTAAATATTTTGTTACATAAAACAAGATATTTGGTTGCTATTAAAAAATGCCTCAACTAAATACTTTTGTTAGAGATACTAAATTCTCTTTCCTAGCGTAATATCGATATTTTTTATTCGATATTTTTAATGTATCGATATTTTTATTTGCGATACGTATCGATATGAAATCTCGATATTTTCTATTGTATCGCCCATCCCTACTACCTACCATGGCGATGGTTGCCTGCGCTTGCCAGTTCACCGTTTCGCGAAATTTTGCGAATCTAATACCGCGAAAACGCATCGCCAAGTAGTCTCGCCTAATCGGCGGAGAGCTGTTTCATTTCGCCGTCCTCCGCTCTTCTCGCTCTTATTCGTGAGCTCTTTCTTTTAGATCCGCGCTGCATCCTCCGCCAAAGGTGCGTATTAATAAGATGAGCCAAACCGCACATGTGTCTTTGAGAAATTTTATTTCCGCCTTGCCAGCGCGCCGGCACTCACCGGCGGATACGGACAAGTGCTCGAGTGCGCGTCTCTTTATCAGGATTTTCAATAGCCGGGAGCGTCGCAAAGAGTTTTGAGTGCGGCGGCACGCATTGTCCGTCCGTCCCGGCCGCGGACATCTGTCACGGACACGCGTAACTTAATTTTGCGAGAGGTTCGCGTAGGAGAGGTTCGAACGGCCCGCAGTGAGAGAAATAGACGGAGCCGGGAGGGAGAGAGAGAGAGAGAAGAAACAGGAAGGGACAGGGGAAAGAGAGAGGGGAGTGGCGGAAGGTGGAGATGACGGCGCGACGACAAAGGTTCCGCCGCTACTTTCCGCGCCCGATATTAAAGGGTTTCGCGAAAATGTCATAATTGACTTTACAATTAGCGCCGTCTTGTCTCGCGATGCGCCAACCCCTCCTCCCGCTCTTCCTCCCTCGCCGCTAGTCTCGCTCGTCCTACCCTCCCTCCTAAATATCAATCGAGCGTCCTTCTAGCGGACGCGGGCGAAGCGGAAACGCGTCGTGATGAGAGCAGCGCGGGGGGAGGGGGGGGAGGAAAGAGAGTACTTCTCTCGTTGTCCAACTAATTAGAACAGCCGATCGACTCGCGTTTCGCTAACTATTTTCATAAGCCGTAACAGGCCTTTAATTAAAATTCATAGCTGGCACGAACTCCGGCGCCCCGCGCCGCTCGCGGAAGTTCAATAAGTCGCTGCTTCTTTCGTCTTTCCGGATCTCTGATGATATTCACGATAGCGTCGCGCGAGAACGAGACGGGTGTCTCCTTTGTTCGTTTTATCCGCGGCTCACGCGAGGGGAAACACTCGCCGTCCCCTCTCTCTCTCTCTCCCTCTCTCCCTCTCCCTCTCTCTCTGTCCTCCTTTTCCCCTCTTCACTCTCGGACGGAAGTCAAACAGCGTCTTCAGCGCTAATGCTGCTCATTAACGACGACGTTAATTAAGAATTCCTGCTTGCCGATCGGGAATTGGCAGTCGTCGAGGCTCTCGATGATATTTCGTCAGCGTGCAAGCTGTCCAGAGCTTTCTCCCATCTACGGAGATCTCTCAAGCAACTTGCAGCACGGAGAATTACTTGACAGATATTTAACATACCGCTCCGGTTCGCTTGGCAACGCTTGACGACATGGCGGAGGGAGGAAAATGAAACGTCTCCTCCGGCGTCGAAAGCCGCCCCGTACGCGCGCGCGCGCCTCGAAAACGATCTCGATACGACTCTCTCATGACGATTAAAATCGAGCGTTCTTCCCGTCCTCCATCTATCCCTCTCTCAGCGTCGTTCGAACTCTCCGAGGAAATCGCGCTCGCGCGTCAGGTTGATCGACACAATGGCGACGGTACGCCGTAGCGAAAATCATTATTGACAATTAATCCCGTTCCAGAGGGTATCGCGCTTGTTCATTTGTCGAAGTAACCGAACCGTACGTTGTCCCTCACGGCTCCAATTCCTCGCGGTGTATATCCGCGGAAATGCTATACGCGCGGTGCCAGGAACGATCTCGTCGATTCGCGGGGAATTTTAGGCGCGAGTAACCGCACCACCGGAGTGCGCACTACATCCTCCGACTCGACCCGACGAGTCTCTCGCGTGAGACTTCTCTAATTGCGTCGTTATGTACGCGTCGCTTCCTGAAAGGAAAAAGACAGAGAGAGAGAGAGAGAGAGGGAGAGAGAGAGAGAGAGAGAGAGAGGGAGAGAGAAGGAGGAAAAACGAAAAAACAAGAGGAGACAAGAGAAACGTCCCCTTATAAATCTTGCCGAGAACGAGAGTTAGCAAAGTTGGCCGTCTCGCCGATATTTCAGCCGTCGCTTGGCGCAACTTTCCGGAAACATCACGCGCGCGCGCGCAAGGGATCTTGTTTCGCGGGCAGAATAAAGGCGAAATTAATATTTACATAAATAATGGCTCGTTAAGACTGACCTGGCTTGAAGTATTAGTCTGTGGGCGTAAACCGGGGTCTCGTCGCGCCCCAGCAGAAACACGATATCAGCCGAGTCTTTATCCTCGGAGAGTCGCGCCAGATCCTCCAGCAGCCTCGGTACGCCCGACATCCCGACCAACCCCGCCTCGCCAGACATCCCAGCGGCACCTGCCGCCGCCCCGACGGTAACGGCCCTAGTTACCATTATTCCTGTACGGACGATCGTTAATCAAAAGTGAATTAAGTAATATCGGCTGGAGTAATTAACGAAACGGATTCTCCCGCGCCCGCGCCGCGCCGCGCCGCGCCGCACCGTCGCCGTTGTCTCTCGCGTCGCACTATAAATAAACACCGACGTGTTTAGCGTCGCCGAGCCTGGGCGCGAATCCTACCCTATACGGCTGGTTCTTTGGCTGTAACGCCGGAGACAGGGACGAGTAATTACGATTTATCGATTGGGGATTAATTCGAGCGCGGGTCGTCGAATAAATTTGCGGCCGCGCACCCAGCGGGAAATTTCGTGAAAAACGTGCAGCCGAGGAGCGCGTTTTCGTCCCGGAAAGAAAAATAGAGGGGGAGAGAGAGAGAGAGAGAGAGAGAGAGAGACGTGAAATTTATCACACGTTTCTTATCGCACACCTCCCCCGCTCTTGACGCTGGGAAAATCTCCTAACGCGGAACAGCGGCGGTAATTTGCGATAATCCGAAATTAATAGGACCGTCAGGCGGCAAGAAGATGACAGCTACGCGGTCGCGCGGATGGCGTCCGGCCGAGTTTTTTGCGGTCGCCTCCCACGTCACATCGCACTGTCGGGTCGCTTCGCGTCGCGTCGAGCCGCGCCGCGCCGCGTTCGCGTCGCGTCGCATCGTGTCGCGGAAATTCGGTGGCGTTGGGAAAAAGCGACAAAACCGATTAAGGTACAATCGGCGCTAATTGCGCTATTAATATTTGATTTGCGCCAGGCCGCGCGCTCACACTCGCTCGGGCCGATCGCGCGAGGGACGAGATAGGGGGGCCGAGGGGAGGTGGGATTTCGTGACGTTGCGGCGGCGGCAGTACCAATGACGAGCGTGTCTCCTGATTCCCTTTTAATTAGTACGGGTTTTGTAGTTTTCGAACGCATCAGCCGTCGATTGTAGAGCGAAGCGTGAGACGAGAGCTCGCAATCAGCGGTCGTTTACCCGCCGCGCGCGCGCTCGCGCTCGCGTCCGCGCCACCGCATCGTATCGCGTTTCTGGCCGATGTGATTCGATTAAAATGTCATCGTCAGGGATGGCTCTAACGTCTGTCTATGATGATTCCATAAAGAACTAATTAGCGTTCAGTTCGGACAGCGCGGTAGCTGCGGCGATACGCGCGCGCGCGCGTCAAATTGATCGTTGCCGGCTTTTCACCCCAGGCCGCTCTTATGTTTAACGTATGCGCTCGTCGTCGTGTCCTCCTCTCCTCCGCCTCCACCACCTCCACCTCCTCCGAACGCTGATAAGTTTCGACAGTAACGATGCGCCAGACATTGTGATGAGTTTACTCGAGATTAAATCCTCGTGTTTGCACTCCCTCTCTCTCTCTCTCTCTCTCTCTCTCTCTCTCTCTCTCTCTCTCTCTCTCTTTCTCTCGCGTGCGCGCGCGAGCGACGGTGATGGCCCGGCGGATTATCCCGCATCGCAGAGACTTCGACAGCACGCAGGGTGCGCCCCGTTTCTCGCGTGAGTGCACGTTCTCATTGACGCGCGGTCGCGAGAATACGCTGTCCAAGGATTGCAGATGACGTTCTCAGGCGAGACCGCACGCGAGGCCACGGTCACCACGTGTGTGTGTGTGTGTGTGTGTGTGTGTGTGTGTGTGTGTGTATCGGTGCACTTTAAATAGCTGCGGTATTATCCACACGTGAACATTCCTCGTGTCGAGCAGTTGTGTCCGGGCGAGAGACTCCCAAGCCCGGATCGGCGCATCGCGTCACATCGACGACGACGACGACGACGACGACACCGTCGTCGCGCGCGCTCCCGACGGCGACGATTTGATCGGAAAATCGCCCTGACGCGCGCGCGCGCGAGCCGATCGATCGACGGGTCGATAGCGAGACGGGCGACACTCACCTCCGCGCAGGGCTCAGGCGACTTCTCTCTCTCTCTCTCTCTCTCTCTCTCTCTTGAGAGAGAGAAAGAGAGAGAGAGAGAGAGAGAGAGAGAGAGAGAGAGAACGAGCGAGCGCGCGCGAAAGCGGCGTATAATACAGCACACACGTGGACGCGGAGAGACGCGACGGTTGCACGGTTGCGCGGTTGCGAGGCTTGCACCGTGTGTGCAACGCTCGTTCCGCCGCGAGCCACTCGCTCCAGCGTCGCTCCTCTTGCCTGCTTGCCGGGTCGTCGTCTCGGAGCGCGGAGCGGCGTCGCGCAGGCCGCCCCGAGTGCTCGGCTTCTCTTCCACGTCGAACCCGTCGGCTGCTGGCTGTCACAGCACACAGCTGGTGACTTGGCGCGGCGGCGGCGACGGCGGCGACGGCGGCGACGGCGGCGGCGGCAGCGGCGGCGACCCGAACGCACGCGTGAAAAACGGAAAACCTTCGGGAAAGTTCTGGCCGGTGGGCCCGCGAGTGCAGAACAGGTTTTACGAGCGCTGGACCGGGCCCTCGCTCGGTTATGCTGCTCCTCCGACATTCTTAGAGGGGCCTGGTCGCTCGTTCTCGTGCTCTCCCACCCCCTCTCTCTCTCCCTCTCCCCTTCCCTCGTTTTCGCTTCTCTCTCTCCGCCCGCCGCCACCGCCGCCGCCGCCGCCACCACCCGGCCTTTCTCGCGCCTCCTGCCGTCTCGCTCGCGCCGCCGCTGGGGCCCTACGCGGCTCTTTGTTTCGCTCGTCCTCTCGTCGTGTCTTTGTCCCGCGGGGGGCCCGTGCTCCTCGCGAGATCTCGCTGCTCCTTGGCCCGTTGTTGCCAGATCGTCTGTAGATCACACCATCAGAAAGCGCTCATGATGCCGCTGCGCTCCCGCGAGCTGCCGGGCAGCTCTCCTGCGCTCCTTGAATTCCGCTATGATGCCTTCGCAGGCTCGCCGACGACTTCCGCCCAACGGCCGCGGTCGGTCCGATAGATCGATGACAACGTGCGATGACGCGGTCTCGAGACCGGACCGGAGACTCGGTCCCGCGCGCGCGCGCGCGCGCGCGAATTCATCATCGCGGCATCCTTTCTCGCCGGTGGAGGCGGCACTCGCGAGAGCCGCTTCGCCATGGGCGATGGTTTCTGCCCCGCGTATATACGAGGTTTGATCAGAAAGTAACGGGAATGTTTAATTTTCTCGGAAAGTATTTATTTAATCTTCAATGTTTATCCCATCTCCTTCAAAGTAGTCCGCCTGTGATATTATACACTTGTGCCAGCGTGGTTTCCAGTTTGAGAAACACTGGTGGAACACGCCTCTTTAGTCGTATCGTCTCGAGCTGGATCTGCGATTTCGCCTTTATCTCATCTATCGTTGTCGAAAAACATTGTCCTTTGAGTGTCCTTTCGGGAGTTTAGGAAAAAGGGAAAAAGTCACAGAGGGAGCCATGTCTGGAGAATAAAGGCGGTTGCGGCATCACAACGGTGTTGTGTTTCGCCAAGAACTGTTGGATAAGCAAAGCGGTATGTACGCTCTCTGATCCGACTGATTTCGCCAAACACGAGAAAATCGCCAAACACACTGAGAAGTACGTCTTGCTCATTCGCTCGCCAAACACAAACTAAAGCGTCGCAGCTGCCTGAAAATCGACACCGGTACGTCACTGGTAGTGCTACCAACACACAACAAAGAATCAACTGAATAGACAGGATACAGCGCGCGCAATTTCAAAATTCTCCTTCAAACTTTTCGATCAAACCTCGTGTCATGTCTGATGTCAGAACTGGCGCAGATCCGTCTGCGCGCGTTGAACGCGTAGAAGAAGAAACGCGAGCGATCTCCGTGCGGGCCCGATCGCCGGGCGAAGGTCCCGGAAGGAACGAAGGGGAATTCCGCATGCGGCATGCGCGCGCTTCCGTGACACACGAAGAACAGTTACGCGGAGCTGATACTATTTCGGAAATGGGCCCGCGTATCCTGCGGTTTCGCGGTGAGACGGTGGATCCTGCACAATGCGGTTCCGTTGATTCGTGTCGCACGGGGAAAGAGAGGCGGCGCGGCGTCTCTCTTCGTTCGCTCTTACCGCCGCAGGCGTTCAACTTTCCGCCGCTCCGGAACTAATCGTTGAAAAAAGGAGGCGGCGAGTGCTCTTGCATCATCGCCTTCTTCATCTCTCTTGCCCATTCAGCGCAGCGCGCGCGCGCGCGCGCGCCCGGCAGAGACGCGCGTTTTGATTGCTCAAATTGGAAGAACACTTGACATCTTTACGGGCGATCCGAGAAAGAGAGAGAGAGAGAGAGAGAGAGAAATTTGACGTTTCCGTGAAAGCTCGCTCTCGCCCTTTCTCCCCACCATTTCCAGAGAAATAATTCGTGATCCGAGACGCGTGTGTCGTCCGCTTCGATCGCGACACGGCGGAAGGCACGATTCACGTCGGAAGTGAAGTTTCGAGCGTGCGGCAGAGCGTTTGTTCAGGAGGATCGTCCCCTCCGCCGGATCATTCAACGCCGCCGGAGGTGAATCCGCACGGAGGTATTTCGCGAGTCCTGCCGCAGATCCTCGCCCCGACAGATACCGAGATGATCCGCCCGCTCTTGCTATCGACTGCCGGGGAACAATTAACTCGGAATCTGGTTTGACCCAACGTGGACTTCGAAGCGCTGTTCGAAGTTACTTGTTCGCTCCTTTCCGTCCTCCTGCGGTCGTGTGCCCTCCCGCGCTTTCCCCGGCGAGTCGTCGCTCGCCGCAGCCGCCGGAGCGACCCCGCAGGTATTGCAGCCGTCGCACCGGCAGGTGCTGGCGCGGCCGAACGTGGGATCGAGCAGCTTCGAGGTGTACCGAGGAGAACCGGTCTTGGCAGGTCTCGGAGGAGGAGAGGTCACCGATGGACGATAAAGCAGACCTGATTTTCACGAGCCTCGATAGATGTCCGACAACGATCGTCGGACGCGGGTCTGGATCTCCGCGAGATCGTCCATTTCATTATCATCGGACGATGAAAAGATGTAGATTAAAAGCAAAAACCAAACAACGGAGGTGGCTTCTCAGACACCGACGCGCGGCTCTAACATCCTTGTTAGCCAGCCTTGTTTTAACGATCGATCGATCGAACGAACGAACGAACGAACGAACGAACGAACGAACGAACAAACTTTCATACGCGCGCGCGCTCGTTTGTTACTTCAATTTGCTAATGAAGCGCGGCGCGGCCGCCAAGACCGCGGAGTCTATCGGAGTAATTCCGCGGTTACGCCCAGGCGGCTCTCTCTCTCTCTCTCTCTCTCTCTCTCTTTTTACCTGCCGAAACGGAGTCACGGCTGACGCGTAATTATCGCGGAGCGACCTTAATGACCCTCCGAGGGAGGAGGGGACGGCCAACGGCAGTTGTTCGCATCCCTACGAATTCCTTCTCTCCCAGCCGCCAACTGCGGAGTTACCGCATTACGGCCGCTTATGCGCCGCGACGATGGAGATCGCGAGCGAACGAAGAAGACACCGGCTGGCGGCGGGAGGGAAGGGGAACGGGAGGAGGCAGGCACGAGACAGACG